CAATTTAGTGATTTAGTGAGACCTTGTTTCAAAAATAAAAGATAATAAAAGGGCTGGGGATTTTAGTCCTGGGCTCACTCCTCAGTACTGGGGGAGGAAAAAAAAAGATTTGGAGTCTAGCAATAGAGGCAGTAGAAAACAAAGACTTGTGCAAGAGAATGTGGATTGGATTTTAGTGGTAAGGAGATCAGTAAGACAGATGAGTGGATTTAAGCTTGGGGGTTTATCCCCTTGATGTGACTTTGTTACTTTTATTTGATTTAAATAGCTTGAAATTATGGTTGAAGGTCATAAAATAACTGGCTATGAAATACTTTTGAGAATATCTCAAAATTAGTCTGACAGTTTACTAGTAGGTTATCGCCAGAGGTAACTTTTTTTTCTTTAAGCTTTGAGCAAGAATAATAATGAGCTATCTTTACTTGAAATGTTTTATATGCAGTTGTTTGACAACTGCAGTCCTGCAAAATATGCTTGACTTCATTGTTCATTATTGTTTGGTGGTCACTCTGGAGAATTTTTCCCTCAAGTAGAGAATTAAAGTACATACAGATGCACAAATCCTTAGGGTAAGTATACTGGTATTTCATCATTGTTGCAAGAAATAGGGCGGAGAAGTCCCCAACATTTTGAGCAATAGTGGTTCTTTTTTTTTTATTACTTTATTTGTTAATATTAAGAAGAAAAGGTAAAACAAATTTTCACAACAAAATAATAAAAATAACAATTGTTGATAAATTACACATCATTATCTTTAGTCACTCAAGTACAAAATATGGGCATAAAAATTTCTTCAATCAATATTAGCACAACCTTTCCTATTCAGTGAACTAAGTGACACTAATGGTATAACTAACTTGCATTTTTTCTTTTCCCTTCTATCCTTTCTCTTTTCCCCTATCTTAGTTTCTTCTTTTTATTGAACAGTTTCCTCCCATTTCACAGTGACTATTGTATATTTTGAACCTTATGGTTACACATATGTCACTGTGGTGTGATGTTTTTCAATCCTTCTGGGAAGATACACAGAAGGGGAATACCTGGGTTGAATGGGACCTCTAATCCTAATTTTTTTGAGGAATCTCCACACTGATTTCCACAGTGTTTGTACTAGTCTACTCTCTAACCAACAGTTGTAAAGGGTTTCTTTTTCCCTACAGACCCAGCAGCATTTTTTATTGGTTGATATTTTTTTTAAATTGAATAATTTTTTAATGAATAAGGGAGAGGATGAGATAAAAGGGGGCATAACAACATAACAATACAGGTTAAAGCATGACACTTTCAGCAACCTAGTGCTTCACCACCAAATAACCCGACTTAATAGTAGTTACCATAGTGTCTTTTTCTTTGAAATATTTGAATATAACTTCATATGCTATAGCATCAAACATATCAAGACTGTGTAACACCATTCAAGTGGATGAAAGCATTGTAGAGTATTTAGAACCAGCTAACAGAAAAAATGATCAATGGTTTCTTTATTATCTCTTTGCCTATAGCAATAGTGGTTCTTTAATTCAAAGATTTTCTAGTCCTGAATTTTGTGTTTGTTATCTTATAGGTGGTTTCTGATAAATTACTTAAGTCAGTCTGAAGCTCAGTAATAGATTTAAATGACTTGCTGTTTTCCTAATTAAAGTAACATCTGTGTACATTTGGCCAAGTAAGTTTATATGTTTTCAAGATGTTTGTTCAGTCTTTTAATTAAACATCTTAAGACAGCTTATGCTGTTCTCATTCATTTCTTGGGCTGGGACACTGATTTAGCATATTGGCATCTTTTGTAGTACCCTCCTTTTTAATGAATCAGCACAGTGCTTTTTACTTTGCTATAGTGATTTATTTGTTTGTTTTTCTTTTTAGAGGCTGGCCTAGTGAAAAGCTGAATTTATAGAGCAGGGATAAATGTGTTTCCCTTTAGCTTTGGTTCAGTGATGTACTCAGATATAGTCTGCCTACATACATAAATCTCTGTTCCTTTCACTTATTTGAGATCCAGTTCTCTGTTGGCTTTTCCTCTTTGTTTGCCAGTGACACAGGGATTTAGTTACTAGCTTTAACAATTAATAAGATAGAACAACTCTATGTGAATTGTCTTTTATTTTGTCAAAATATTTTGGGTTGAAACGTTTTGTTGTTCCTGTTTCATCTGAAAATAGAATTTATATGAAAATAACAGTTTATCTTGGCAGATGCTGCTCTTACTACACATTGCTTTATTTGTAAAGTAAGACTTCACTGCAGATCTAATCGTACTATCATGATATTTTGTTAAAACTACTTTGAGAAGACTTTATATTAGTGTTTAAAATTAATATTCTTAGTGTAGTTGCTTCTCTCCCATTGGATCTTGCTGTATTCTAGTCTGGCCTTAAACTCAGTTTGTAGCTCAGGCTGTCCTTGAACAACTGCCTCAGCCTTGCAGAGTGCTAGGATTACAGGTATGTGGCACTGTGCCTCGCTTTTAATGTACCTTTAATTTTGTGTTATTTAGAAAATGTAGTGATTTTTGAATGCTGGTTAGCCTAGTAGGGCCTTCAGAGTAGGTTCTTGAAATACGGTAATAAAACTCTTGTGGAAGGAAAATGCATTTCTAAAATGTCGTATGCTTTTACCTGGGCATATGGGGGCATATGCCTATAATCATGAGGCTGAGGCAGAAGGATTGTTGAGTTTGAGTGTATCCTGGACTATGCAGTGGGTTCAAGGCCAGCCTGAACTGCATAGCTAGACTCTGTCTTGCAAAACAAAACAAAACAAAAAAAGTGCTGTTACAAAAAATATGCTAGTAGCTGGACATGGTGGCACATGCCTGTAATCCCAGCTCTTGGGAGGCACAACAGGATTACTGCAAGTTGAAGGCCAAACTGGGATACATAGTGAGTAGCCAGCCTAACTACATAGCAAGAGCTTGTCTCCCCACTTGAATTTTCAGCCTTAGCAAAGTATAATTTGTATCTGACAATATTCACCAATTTTAAAATATTGTCTCTAAAGTTAAACTTTATAAAAGATTTTTTTTCTCTTTGAGACAAGATCTTGATATGCAGTTCAGGCTGACCATCAGCTCACTTTGTAGCCCAGGCTGGTCTTGAATTTGCAATAATCTTCCTGCTTGAGCCTCCCAAGTGCTGGGATTACAGGCATGTGCTACCACGCCTGGTTTATAAAAGGATAGTTAATATAATAACCTGTATTGATGAATTGATTGATTGGGACCAGGGATAGAACTCAGCCTAAGCTGGATTCTTTGCCCATTTTTATGTTTTATTTTGAGACTGGGACTCAATAAATCACTCAGTTGCCCAAGCTGGGCTTGAGTTTGTAATCCTCCAGCCTCAGCCTCACAAAGTGCGAGGATTACAGATGTGTCCACCACTTCTGGCTGTAACTTCACTTTGAAGATTTTTGTTTTTTAGATGAATAGACAGGTAGGTGAACTACATGTTTCAGCAGGCATTTCAGGATGTTTTGGAAAGTAATCATCTAGTAAAAGATTTATTGTGGGAATGTGGTTTTCCTTCTGCTCAGGTTTTGATGTTCCTTCTTGGAGGTCTATGCTACTCACTGAGAAGACTTTTTGAAAACCACACTGATTATACACCTGAAGCTTCGTAGAGTGTTGCAGTACAGTTCACTAAGCTTATTAGAGATTTGTTAGATCAGTGACCGATGAAGTGAAATAATACACACATGAAGTTTTTCCCTCAGCTTACTCATTAGTCCTTTAGCATTGTGCAAAGGAAAAGAGACTGATTCTCGGAAATTTTAGTTAGATTAACAACTCTATAACTATTTTTATACAGGGAAACCTAGGCAGAGAGACAGTGGAAGTTGTTTTGGGTCACACATCTACAGAATGGTATCTTTTGTCTGTTTTCCTATATGAAGTATTGGTTCTCCAACTCAGAAAGCCCAAATGGCCACTGTTGTGTTGCTTCTTTGATCTCAAATCCTTCAAGTTTAGTTCTGAGCCTATGAAGAAATGTGGAAGAAATAGGGTAGGGTAAGGTATTTGTGTGCCAACAGTGTCCATTGAGGAAAATGGTTTATGTGAATGGTGTAAACTTGGTAGTAAAAAAGTCTTCCTTGAAATTCCTTTGTTTACTTATCTACAGCAGAAAGATTCTTATCCAATTTAGCTACCATAATACAAAGATGAAAAAGGTTTTGTCTTAAGTCATAGAGGGCTGGGAATATATAGCTCAGCAACGTAAGTGCCTGTCTGACAAGTGCAAGATCCTGAGTTCAGTTCCTGGTACCAGAACAAAACAAAACACTAGGTCATAGATTTTTCAGCAGAAACAGTGCCTTTCAAAGTAACTTTGTAGATTCCTCAAACAATGACAAATAGAAATTCTACTTGACCCAGCTATTTGCTTTCTAGGCATCTTTCTGAAAGTGTTAATGACATCATATTACAGTGATAAATTGAATCCCACCCATGTTGATAGGAGCATAATTCATAATAGCTATAGCTTGTAAGCAGCCTACCATCAACAAATGAATATGATAGATAAAAATAGATTTACATATAATAAAGTACTGCCCTATCATAAAGAATAAACCTGAGTTATTTATAAGAAAATGAATGTACCTTGAGAGTATAATGTTAAATGAAATAAATCAGACACACAAGCTTAGATGTAGCATGGGTTTTGTTACATGAGAAACTCAATATGTAGGTAAATTAAAGAGCAAAAAAAGGGCACATAATAGGAAACAGGGAAATAGAAGTTTCTCATAAGGGAAGGGGACCAAGATGAAGGTAGGTAGGAGAGAGAATAGGGGAAGGAGATGAAAATAGAATTAAGATGTATTATGTGACTATACCAACTCGGCATGATGAATGTAATCCTATACTAGTAAAAAATAAAACATGGATCATAATTTCAAAAGAAAACAAAATAGGTAACCACTTAACTGGATTCTACTCTTTAATCTCTTTGCACAGTTAAAAATGTGGGAAGTTTGAAATAGTTTCTTTTTCTTTATAGATTAACTGCTGAAGTACTGATCGAGTTCTGCGTTTCTTCAATGAGGAACTACAGGCTGATCTTCTGCCATAATCTCAAACAACCATAAATGACAAAAGAATGCTTGCTCAGTGAGGGTAGCTGGTGCAGAAGCCATTTTTTAAACTTAGGTGTTTAAGTACTCAAAGGTAAGTACTCAAAATAGTAGCTGTCTGCTACATTATAAATCCATAGGGATTTTTGGAGTTTGCCCCTGCTTTTTATTTATTTATTTTTAGTATCAGTTATTACCGTAGCTACTATTTAATTGTAACTGAGTTTTGTAGTTATTAGCTGGCACCAGTTGTATTAAGAAAGGAAATTATTTTTATAAGACTGTGTACATTTGTATTATTCTCTTGTCCTTAAATTAATTTCTACCATTCCTGTCAATTGACTGATTTGTTTTCTAGTTTTGCTGTTAACCTCTCTTTATCCAGCGAGTGAGTATACAGTTGATCCAGTAGGTCTAATTTTCATAAACTTTAGATTCTTGACTAGGTCTACCTGGGTGATCTGGAGTTGGTGTCATTTTGTTCATTACCAATTTTTGAAAAATTTTTATAATTTTTCCCATAAAATTTTTAAAAATAAATATTTATTTTAGAAAATGAAATTTTCTTGAGATTTCTTGTTTTCTGATGCTGTGTGTGTTGGAGGGTGTCATCTGATGCATTTTCTTCCTATCACTTCTTTATTAATCCAACAGAGTTACGACAAGTAACTTTTTTTTGAACCAGACTAGCTCTGGCAATATCTTCTTTGCTGTGCCATGTGCTGCTATTCACTGCTCTGCTCCCTTTTTTTCTTTTTTCATACTGGGGATTGAACCCAAGGTCTTACATATACTTGGCAAGGACTCTACCACCGAACCAGCCTTTTTATTTTGAGACATGGTCTCTTGTAATTGCCAGTCTGGCCTTGAATTTGTGAGTCTCCTGTCTCAACCTCCCTAATAGCTAGGATTATAGGATTGTGCCACTGCACCGGACTGAAAAATTTTTTTTGAGTAATTATGAAGAAATAGTGTTGATAAAAGGATTTTCTTCATTAAAAGTTGAGGTCCAGAATTGAAAAAATATATATATATATATTTATTAATGGCTGCTCGGTCTTACGGGAATAAGAACTGATTAATCGTGTTCTTACTTGCTCATCATTAAAGTGATTCTGTTATATTTGAGTATTTATCAATTGAAGGATTAGGTGAGCTTCATATAGCAGAGTTTAGAGCTGGACTTTTGCCTGAGTCATTAATAAACTTGGTTAGTAAAGGTCTTAGGATCTTGTCTTTGGGATATTAATGTCCTTTGTAAATGTAAACAATCAATTTTGTCGTTGTTAAATATACAAAAACTACAGGAAGCCTTCAGAGCTAACTTCATAGCAGAGAAAATGCTTTGATAATTATATTGGGCTTTATTTGTGAAATACATCATGGGCCTGATAACTGTTACATACTTAAAATAGATGAAAACACATTCAGGTGTAAAGCATTTTTCTTTAATGTATTTAGTCATATTGCCACCTGTTAATCATTATAGTCGTTTTTTTTTTTTTTTTGTCTTTCATTTGGCAGAAAAGACAGCTTTGATTTCTGGCTGCAAAAAAGATATGAGGAAGAGCTCCTCCCCTTCCTTGAGTAACTGCAACTCCGTTCTTGCTAACAAAATATTTGGAATTCCACTTGATGAGCTGCAGCAGGGAGGACATCCAGACAATGAGGTTCCATTCATAGTCCGCCACGTTGTGGACTATATTGAGGAACATGGTATACATTTCTTTACTTTGAGGGCTAGCTTTTGTTTTAATATACACAACTTATCCCTTTTTGACTTTCAATTTTTAAATTTTTTTTAAGTATGGAAAATGCAAAATATAGACAAAACAAAGCAATTCTTTTTAAGGTTTTAGTGCATTTTTAACTTAAGTTGGTATATCTAGGAATGACAGTTGCCCAGCCTAGAATATTTTTTTAGTGGGGGTGATAGGACTTTTTAATGGATATAAGGGTGGGATAAAATAGAATGTCTTTCAGAGATTGTATGTTTCAAGATACCTAATTTGAAGGTTTTTAGCCAAATCTGGAGAGCTAACCAAGAAAGGCTTTCTGAGAAGTATGAGTATTTTAAGTTGGCTGAAGATGAATATATATGGGCAAATCGTTGGAAGTTGGAGCTTATTTAATTTTTATCTTGAACTAAATAGGCGGTCTGGAGCAACAAGGGCTTTTTCAAGTCAATGGAAATGCTGAGACAGTGGAGTGGCTTCGGCAGAGATACGACAGCGGAGAAGAGGTGGATTTGGTTAAGGAAGCAGATGTTCCTTCAGCTATTAGTCTCCTTAGGTTTTTCCTTCAAGAACTTCCTGAACCTGTTATTCCTGGCAGTTTGCATATTCACTTCATGCACCTTTCTCAAGGTAAGATAATTTTTGATTCTAATCAATCATTCATTCAATTGTTCATTCATTTATTTATTTATTTTTGGAGACCTGGGAATTGAACTCAGGACCTTGTACTTGCCAGGCAGGCGCTGTGCCACTGAGCTATAACCTTGGCCCAGTCATTCATTATTAATGTAGAGTCTTTATCTTTTAGAAATCATTTTGTTTTAAATAACTCATTACAACACATTATTGTAATCATTCTATTTTATTGTTAGTTTTTTTTTTTTTTTAAATTTTGTTTTTTGGATTTTTTTTGGTACCGGGGATTGAACTCACGATCTTATGCTTGCCAAGCAGGTGCTTATGCCTGCCACGCAGGGGCTTAGGCCACTGAGCTAAATCCCTGGCCCCTTATTGTTAGTTTCTACTGTGCCTAATTTATAATTTAACTTTATCATAGATATAAATATGTATGCATGTATGTATGTATGTATGGTTTGGCACTGTTTATGATTTTAGGCATCCATTGTTGGTCTTGAGGTATATCCCCAGCAGATAAAGAGGGACTACTGTAACTACTGATTACTTAAGGAAATAATACTAACGCTGTTTGATCTTAGAAAATTACTTATTAGATTCTCCACAGTTTTTTTCATGTGGAAAAAAGAATCCTAAAATAATAATGACGCTATAAAGTTGTCGAAGTAATACATATAAAGAACCCTACACTGTAGCTACCCAGGAAGTAAAGTTTCTCTGGTCTGCCTCTTTCTACTCCCAGAATGTCTGGTGCAGGTGTGTACTTACTTTTGTTCTTGAGCTGCAGGGTTGGATTCTAGGGCAGCAGATGAGAAGGGATAAATTAGCTTTGAAGGCTGAACTTAAAAATGTTTTTCAGACCTACACCCTAGAAATCTTTCTTTTTTTCCTCTGGGACAGAGTCTTGCTTGTAGCCCAGACTGACCTCAAATTCATGCAGATCTTCCTGCCTCAGCCACCTGAGTGCTGAGATTATAGGAGCATGCTACCACATCCATCCAGCTCATAGAAATCTTGACATGTATTTAATAAATATATTTCAGAGATTAATTTCTTATTTTCTCATGTGCTTTTTGGGCCCTATGTCTTTGGCTTAATAAGACCAATTATAAAAAAAAAAAGTAACTAGTACTGCAGGGATGCAAGAAGTTGCCACTTCCTTGACTAGACTATGGGGGGCCCAAAAATAAAATGGGAAAATAGAATGCAGCAGAGCGAGTCTGAGCCACAGGGATCCAATCCTGTAGCTCAGGAACAAAAGAAAGTACACACCTGCTCCAGATATTCTATGCAGTTTAGGTTGGCCTTGAACTCACAGCATGCACTACATGCCTAGCCATGATTTTCTTAAAAATCCTTTTCTGCTAAATACTTAGGTTAAAATTAATAATTAATTTAAAATTAATTTTCTGCCAATGATAGGCAAGGGGGTTTTGAAAACTAATTCAGGCACTGTGTTACACAATGATATGATCAAAGTACTGGTACATTTGAATGGACATTTGGTGATATTACAAGGTATAGAAGAGTTGTTATTGGTTACATTTTAAATTTTATGTAAAACTCACGTGACTATACCCTTTGCAGATAAACTTTTTAGACTTGTGTTATTTTGCAAAGATGGCTGATCATGACCATAGTCTTTACTTATAATTTTTCCATAAATTAATATTAAGGAGCTGCAGAAAGATACAAAATGAAATACAGTTGGGTTAATATTTGCTACTAAAGTAATCTTCATTTTGAGTATCTCTTAAGAAGTTCTCCTTAATGGGCCCTTATCTATCATTGGAGTTAATTTAGGCCTGCTTTCTGCTAATTAAAACTCATTGGCCTAACTTCTGTTAAAATTCACTTATTTAAAAAAAAAAAAAAAAAGACAAGGGCTGGAGATATAGCTCAGCAGTGCAGCGCCTGCCTGGCAAGCAGTAGGTCCTGAGTTTGATTCCAGGTACCACACCCCCCAAAAAATAATAAAATAAAAAACAACCCAGCCTGGCCAACTTAAGATCCTGTCTCAAAATTTAAAAAAAAAGACTGAGAGTATAACACAGGTGAAAGCCTTAGGTTGAGTTCCTAGTACTGTACAAATACAGAAAAACAACCCAAAACATCAGTTTAGAAGAGGAAATCATTAAAAAAAGAAGAGCCTTTTATTTAGTTTTACTGATGTTGCTGAAGTTAATTGTTCTTTTCAGAAAGTAAGGGGGAGAAAAATAAACATCATCACTCTTCATTCCTTATTTTCCCATTCACCCAAATGGAATAGTGTTGGTGTGTCCAGTTGGGTCTGTACTTTGCTCATAGTATTCATGTTGCTTGGCATGGGCAGTGTATTTTCAATTCTTACAGTTGGCATGAGTTTGGAAACACAAGTACAGTCATGTAAGAGACCATATGATGAAAATTTAAAAAAAGAGAATTAGAGCTGGTGTAACAGATGAGGTAAACATCCTCTGGCAGTTGAAAAGTTGAGTTCTTTTGTTCCACCTCCTCTCCACCTCTTCCTCCACTTAAATGAAATGCAAAGCCCTAAGGCATTTTGGCCTGTAGTATAGGAAGTGAAGAGGTTTTGAATTGTTATAGTAAAAAGGTGATGTGGGTGGAGTAATGTGAACCTGGCAAAATATCTGAGCTTTCCTTCTTCATTAAGAAACCTGCCATTATGTTTTATAGATTATAATAATGAAGATGAATTTGGAAGAAAGTTGAGGTTCCTCTTGCAACAGCTTCCACCTGTTAATTACAGTTTGTTAAAGTTTCTGTGTAGATTTTTAGCCAATGTAGCATCACATCATGAAGAAATTTGGTCTGCAAATTCTTTGGCTGCTGTCTTTGGACCAGATGTCTTCCAGTAAGTTGTTTTAAAATACTTGTTTAATTTTTAAAAATTGGATTTGTGAAATAGAGTCATTATCTGGTCTTCCAACAATTATGGGAAGTTCGGTGAACCATTTTTATAGTAGATCCGATTAATCTTTGCAGTAGTTCTGTGAACAGGGTACAAATTAGGTTGGTTTTACTGACGGGAAAACTGAAGCATAGAATGATGACATAAATTGCTCAGGTTTGTAGTAAGTGACTCATTGGTCTCTTCTCACTTTACCTGTGATTAATTAGAAACTCAATTCGATGTGAACTTTTATTCTTAGCATTTACACAGAAGTGGAAGATATGAAAGAACAAGAAATAGTGAGCAGGATAATGGCAGGACTTCTGGAAAATTACTACGAATTTTTTGAGAATGAAGAGGAAGATTTTTCATCAAATGATTTAAGCTCAATTACTGAACAGGTAATATTTTAAATTTTTATTTGGCAGGAGAATTTGTATTCTAAGTATGTTTAGTCAGGTGTGGTGGCACATGTATGTAAGCCCATATTTGCGAGGCTGATGCAGGTGGGTTGCTGTGAATTTTGAGACCAACCTAGACCACCCCATGAGATCTTGTCTCAAAGACCTAAAAAAGGGGCTGGGGACTCAGCTCAGCCGCATAAGCACTTGCTTGGCAAGTGCGAGGTCGTGAGTTCAATCCCCAGCACTGCAAAAAAAAAAAAAAAAGACCTAAAAGAAAAAATGCTTTTTATAGACTTGATACAGACTTATGTAGAATTTAACTACTGAACTGGAGGTGATTTTCTTGATTAATATGTATGTAATACATATGTATATCCATGTAACATGGGTTTGACTTTTTTCTCACTGAACAGTTTCTGTTTTCAACTAGGGTATTTATTTTTAAAATTTGAAAAAAAAATTTTTTTTGGAGACAGGGTCTAGCCTAATGGTGTAACTGCCCTTAACTCGCTTATGTAGCCCAGGATGGCCTTGAACTCAGGGTCTTCCTACATCAGGCTCCTGGGTGCCGGGGGGATTATTGGCGTGTGCCACTTAAAGGCATTTATTTAATGTTTTGTGGTGCTGGAGATTGAACCCAGGGCCCTTAGCATGTTAGGCAAATATTTTACCATTGACCCCCAGATGAGGAAAGATAAGTCAGAGTATGTGATAGAGATTTTTTTTTTGATATCATGGATCTAACTCAAGATCTTGAGCTTATGCTGAGCTATATTCACAGCTGAGATTTTTTTTTTAAAGACAGGGTCTCAATATGTAGTTCAGGCTGGTCTTGAACTCAGAGAGTCTTCTGCTGTTGCCTCCCCAATGCTGGGATTACAAGCATGCCACCACCATGATTGGCTCAGTGTAGAGATTTTTATGTTTGTTTTGGTGGGTTTTTTTTTTCTGTAAGTTTAGGCATTATTTTGTAACTATAGTGTAATTTTTGCAAAGACATTGCTAGTATAAAGGATTAAGTAAGTAAAAAGTGAAAAATTTAAGGTAGAGCAAAAGATCAACACAAGATTGATCTTGCCTTTATTTTTTTAGTTCCTGGGAGTGAACTCAGTGTCTTATGAATGCTAGGCAACTCCTCTGCTACTGAGTTATATCACCTATCCTTTATAGACTTAGAAATTTGAACTTTTTCTTTTTTACAATACTAGGTCAGCATAATGGAATCGTTTTTTTTTTTTTTTTGAGACTGCCTCCATGTAGATGAGGCTGTCCTAAAACTCACAGCATTCCTCCTGCCTTAGCCCCTCAAATGTTAGGATTATAGGCACCGTGTCTAGCTAAAATGCGTATGTATGAAGTACATCAAAATAGATAAAATTTATTGCCCGAATCAGTGAGAAATGAAGCTTTTTAAACATTTTTGAAGATTTCCAAGTATCAAACTATCTGACTTAATTTTTTAAAAGACTTAAAGGACTGAAGCTAAGTGTGGTAATCGACACTGAATCCTAGCATTTGGGAGTTTGAGTGAGACAGGAGGATTGGTGCAAGTTTGAGATCAGCCTGGGCTGCAAAAGGAGCTTGAGGCCAGCCTGAACTGTTGCATAGTGAGACTCTGTCTCAAAAAGACCCCTCCCCCCCCAAAAAAAGGACTGATGGTCTTTCCACATTGTTCTTGTTTGAAAAAAAGTAACAAGAGGAAATGTAGATAAATATACCGTAAACTTTATTAATGTCTTTGGCCCATAAATAATCCCATCTCTGGAGAAATACTGCGTATCACCTTTCATTATATTTTAATTCAGTAATTTTTTAAAAAGTAAAATTAATAATTGCTAAAAGTGAAATAGTATACAGATGTTTGTGTCATTGATCTCTGCATTTCTAAGATGACGTAAAAGAAACCAATGGTGCCAGCTTGAGTTAATATTTATATATTGGCTTCTCAAAATCTACCAGGTGTGCTTTGATTATGACATTGTAGTGTGATACAGTTTTCTGTTCTGTGATTTCTTATGCTGAAATACATATATAGCTCACGTGTATTGAATGATTTTTGTGTAATTTTTTTTTTTTTTTTTTTTTTTTTGAGACAGGGCCTTGTTGTGTAGTCCAGATTAGCCTTAAATTACAACAGTTATCCTGCTTCAGCCTACCAAGTGTTGGAGTTACAAGCATGTGCCACCATGCGTGGCTCTTTATTTTTTAAATCCTAGAAAGATTGATTTAAAATAAGATGCTTTTATGTTAATCAATACCAGGAGATAACGTTGAGTTCTGCACTTCCCCTGAATAGAAAATAAAGATACAGTATTATATTTTTTACCATTTGTCTTTTGTTTTTTGTGGGTTTTTTTGAAGACAGGGTCTCGCTGTGTAGTTCAGGCTGGCTTTGAGTTCACTATGTAACCCAGCCTGGCCTTGAACTCATAATCTTCCTACCTCAGCTTCCTGGTTGCTGTCATTACAGGTATGTACCACTACGCCCAGCTGTTCCTGGAACTTATTTATTTACTTGGTACCAGGGATCAAACTCATTACCTTGCGCTTACTAAACAAGTGCACTTTTAAAATGTAGGAAGCTGTGGCTGATTTGGCAGGCTTGCTTTTTTTCCTGATGTTGATCCTTGAAGGAAGCAAGATTTATTCAGCACTTTTTTGGAGTTTTATTCCATTAATGCAAATATTTGACTGTAGTAGATGTTTTTATCAATTGTGTTAGACAGATGGTTGGAGATGATGGTTTGCGAATTCAGTGGAATGGTTTGGAGATGGAGGTGATAATTTTATTTCTTCATACCTTTGAGAAGGCAGGTAGCAATATTCTCCACAAGCTGGAGTCTCTAGAGCAGGTATTTCATGAGGACCTAGAGAAGGGATTTACAGCAATCAAAGAAAGAAAAGCTGTAAGTATGGATGAGGTTTTCATAACTGAAGTTGAGGCAGCTGCATACATAGAACAAGCCCATGATAATTTATGAGCAGAATAGTTTTGATTAGCAAAAGTTTATCTTGACAGGGAGAAGAACTTTGGAAGATTCTCGAGAGAGCATTTTACAGTGTAATGCTGATAACAATACTGTACAGTTGGACTTTGATTCATAAGCTTAATTCATTCTGTAATTCTGGGAGAGATGGCCATGGTGGTGGTAGGCATCCAATGCAGAATTCATGAACAGAAGCAAAATTTTGTGTAATGCTTCATTTTGAGAACCAAATTGTTCTGAAACAGAAGTATTTGTGAACTAAGGTATTAGTAATTGAGTCATTATTTATTGGAGGAAATTACAGTGGGAGGCCTGGAACTAAGGATGTCATATCTTAATTGATTATTGGTGAAAATACCAAAGAATGTCAATAATTACTTAACCCTTAGTGAATATAATATATTCAGTATAGTAGAGTAATAAGGCTTTTATAGTTTCTAAGAGCTATGAACTGTATAAAGAAAATTACAGTAAAACCTTGGTTTCTGACCATAATTCATTCTTATTTTTTTTTTTGGTCTTTTTGAGATAAGGTCTCCCTATGCTGTTCAGGCCAGCCTTGAGCTCATTTTATAGCCAGGCTGGACTTTAACATGCAACAGTCCTCCTGCCTCAGCCTCTTTGAATGCTGGGATCACACTGACATATGCTACCACGCCTGACACAGAATTCTTTCTTGAAACATGCTTGTAGGCCAAAGTACTTGTATATCAAAGGGAATTTCCCCCTGAGAAACAATGGAAACTCAGATGATATGTTCCATAACCCAAAAATAGTCTATAAAAATAATTATAATAGTGTAATATAATACAAAATAATACAATATAAAGGAAAATAAAAAATTACTTACCTTTGAATGTCTTCATGACTGGACTGAGGGAGACAGGAGGGTTATTATGTTAGATGACTTTTATTATCACTAATGGAATCACTACTGTCTATTGGCTCAATGGAGTCTTGCATTTTAACAAGGAACCTGTCCAATAATGCTTGACTTTTGCCTTCTTACGAGGATTTCATGGAAGTGTGACATTGCATTGTCGTTACACAGATTCATCACTTATACTGCTATAGCCTTATTTGAGTGGTACTTTTCTACAAAAATTTGGTATTTCTCACATTTCATACATCTCTTTATTCTCATTTGAAGTGAAGGATTCCTCTGACTTTTTCTGTTCCTCCTCTATAGACAAGATCTCTTTTGTAACCTGTTTCTGCTGGGAGACGATCACCCACAATCATCTAGAGAAGACAGAGGGAGAGGGAGACAGATAGAACTGTGATCATGTGACATTGTGTCATATACCACTTGTATTGCATGACATTGCTTGTTTGTCAAGTTAAAATTTATTAGAAATGTTTGCTTACCTCAGAAACCACTTGTAGAACAAGTTGCTTGTAACCCAAAGTTTTGTTGCATTTTAAAAACTGAGATGCAGTATGTATTAAAGTAGTGGTATCCATAACAAAAATCTGTAGACTGAATAAATATTTTGAGTTTAAAAGGTCACCTTTACAGATATTTATGTTTTGCAGTTGTACCCAAGTTTTTACTGATTAGCCACAATAACTTCCAGTCTGTCTGTCTGTCTGTCTGTCTGTCTGTGTTTGAGACAGGGTTTCGCTATGCAGTTCAGGCTGGCCTTGAACTAACTTTGTGGTCCAGGCTGGCCTCGAACTCACAGCAATCGTCCTGCCTCAGCCTCTTGAGTGCTGAGATTAAAGATGTATTCCACCATGCCCAGCTCCATTTTTTTCTTTCTTTTTTTTTTTTTTTTTTGTCTTTTTCATTTTTATCAGTACCAGGGATCACACTTAAGACTGCCTGCTTGCAAGGCAGGTGCTTATGCCGCTGAGCTAAATCCCCAGCCCCCATTTTTTATTTCTGACAAATGTATATAGTTTCCCCAGTATTTTTCTTACTTAGGTTACTAACAGCTAGATATTCCTTAAGTATATTCTCTGGACTTTCACTAATTGAGTATATAGATTTCACTAATTGAATATATAGATAAAAGGTAGTTTTCCATTTGGTCAACTTCATTTATTTTTGTCTTTTTGAGAACAGGGTCTCACTATTCAGTTCAGGCTGATCTTGAACTCACTGTGTACCCCAGGCTAGCCTCAAACTCACAGCAGTCCTCCTACCTTAGCCTCCTGAGTGCTGGGATTACAGGCATGAGCCACCACATCTATGTGGCTCATTTGATCAACTTTAAAAACTGATCTGGCATTTGAAATTTTCACCTTTATGTGTAAATCTTAGCTGTCAGTGAAAACTACTTAGGCTAGTGATTCTAAGTTTTTCCATCATCATCATACATGATATAGTATAGATGAGAAATGGCATTTACAAGCACAACAATTAAGCATTTTGCTGCTTACACTTTACCTGTGGGGTAAGTAGTTCATAGATTTGAGGTTGTGTGTATTGTAAACAGTGAGTTTTTAGTGATGCATCTGACTGGTGAGGTGTTTTTTTTTCCATTTTTATTCTTTATTGGTTATATAGCTTAGTGGGTTTCATTTTGGCATATTTGTGCATGCATGTAACATACTTCTTTCTCATTTTATTTTTTTTACCAGTATGTATTTCCCATACATAATCACATTCCTTATGAGAAATTTGTAATTTGTACATAATAATGTATCTTGGCGGCTGCTTTTTTCCCCATTCCCCTCCCTTCTCTTCAACCCTTCTTTCCCTTCCCATTTTCAAAAGTTTTGTTCCATTTTTTTTTTTTAATCCCTCTTCTCTTCTTTCCCTTCCCCCTCCCCTCTTTGGTGTTCTTCTTTCTATTTGAACAGGTTCTTCCTACTTCCAGTATCTGTCACCTGTATTGCTCATTTACCCTTTGGGCTTCTCGCACAAGAAACATTGTGATATTTAAACTTGTGTCTGATTAGTGACTTTGATACAGCAGTGGTTGAGTGCTTCTGCCAATAGTTTGGATGACAGCTGTTTGGATGATATTATGTTAGTTTATTATAAAAAATGATGCTGTATACAGTTTTTATCAGTTTTTTACGTGTAAATACTACTGAAGAATTTATGTATATTCTTCCAACAAGCTTTGTGAGATAAGTAGTATATTATCTCCACTTTACACATAAGGCTGAGATAGAGTTAACAAGGATCTGTAAATGCAGATCTTTCTGTTTCCAAAGCATGAGCTTTTAATTACTATATTATAATTTAAAGTAGACAATCTATCCTTACTGATTAAAAGTATGATAGAATATCATAGTATAATTACATTTCTTTTGGTTACATTTTGGTACTTTCCATTAGTATTCTAGCAAATACATAAATACTAGGAAAAATACCATTGTTATATAAAGTAATAAAAAGATTTTGTTTTACTGCATTTAGTTACAACAGAAAAATGTACTTTTTTTTTTTTTTTTCCTTCTTTTAGTACCAGGAATTGAACCCATGGCCTTTGCACTATGCTGTATCTTCATCCTTTTTTTGTACTTTTTATTTTGAGTCAGGGTCTCATTACATTACCCAGTATTGGGTCAGACTTGCAGTCCTTCTGCCCCAGCCTGTCAGACAGATAGGATTATAGGTGTGAGCTATCACACTCAGCTGTAGCCTGTTTTCATAATCCTAGTGAAGTATTAACACAGTAATTAATTCCTGCTTGAAAATGTTACTATTTGAAGCCAGGCTTGGTGGTGTGTTCCTGTAATCCCAGCACTTAGGAGGCTAAAACAGAATTGGCCTCAAATTCAGGGCCAGTTTAGGCTATAGTGAGTTCAAGGCCATCCCGAACTACCTGGTAAGAGCATATCTCAGTCCACCACCACCCCTTAATATTTGTCTAGATTGCTTTTTTTTGTCTTTTTGAGACAGTTTCACTGTGCAGTTCAGGCTGCAGTTCAGGCCAGTTCAGGCTGGCCGGAACTCCCTTTGTAGACTAGACCTGCCTTGGAGTGGTAGGACTGCAGGCATGTGCCACTATGCCCAAGTCTTTTTTTCTTTATATATTATTTTAATTTGGTTTGTGATACTTGGGATTAAACTTGGCCTGGTGTTTGCTAGGTGGGTGTGCTACTACTGGGTTATATCCCCAGTCCTTCATTTCTGTTATGGTATACCGAAGTAGGTATTTACTCCATAACATAGTCCTTGGAAGTGAGGAAATTTTTTTTTAAATGAGTTTTTTGTGTTTCAATTTTTCTTAGAGTGGTATGTCATAGATATTTCAGTCAATAGTTTCAATTTCAACTGGAATTTCCTTTTTTTTCTATAGGTTAATGACCTTTCAGAGGACGAAGATGATGAAAAGCTGGAACATATAGAAGAACTTCCAGAAGAGGGTGTAGAAAAATCAAGTGATATGCCAGAGGTGGTACAATTAAGGATGACTGAAAACATCCTGGAATCAAATAGTGTTATAGCATCAACAAGGTAAATAAATACTTCACCTGAATGAACTCTATTTTAGCTTTTGAGAATTTTATTCTAGGCTTACTTAAGCACTGAGTACAAATTAATAGCTGTATATGAAAGCTTGACGTTTGTATGTGAAAAAGAGCAAGAAGATTTAAAGCAACAGTCTTGGTAAGAACTTTCATTTATTAATGTTATATCTTTCTTAAAAAATAAAGCCTCATAACATTTTTTTTTAATTTTAATTTTTATTTATTTTTTATCGATACCAGGGATCGCTCATAACATTCCTCTTTTTTTTTGTCTTTTTCGTTTTTATCAGTACCAGGGATCGAACTCATGACTGCCTGCTTGCAAGGCAGGCGCTTATGCCGCTGAGCTAAATCCCCAGCCCTTCATAACATTTCTTAAAACTTGTTTTTATATTAGGTTGTTTGTTGAGTTGGATAAAAGTTCAGAATCTTTGAAGGTAAAATTGTACAGAAATTTACAATGGTTTCATTGACATGTGTTTCCAGTTTTTAGGCTATAGCTAGGTTGAAAAATTGTATAGATAGAGCTCTGATCTTTTAAAATAGTGCTTCCATCTTGTATAAAAAGACCATTTCTATATGGCATACTGAGTAAATATGAGAAATATGATAGGCTGGAGGCACTATCCCTTCTCAAAGCTGACTTTAATGGATATATTGTTGAGAAAGCTTTTAGAGAATTCAAAAACTGCCCATACATATCTCTGAATTTGCTAAATTCTGTGCTAATCTTCTATAAGCTTCATGACTTATTAACCTCTTTTCATTAGAGCAGGGCTATGTATTTAACTTGTTAGATGTTTTTCATTAAATTTATATTGATTAAATAGTGGTTTAACAGTAGAGGAAATGATGATGTCTTTGGAAAATAACTAATAACTGAGGGAAGAGGAGAGGTATCAGTGTGAGTTAGAAAAATTACAAAGTGATTTAAAATTATATATACTGCTGAATACAGTTACTGCATTTCTCTGTGGGCTTCCTGATCTTTATGTATAGTTTCTTTAAGAAAATACTATGTATTAATATGTTTATTCACACTTACCTAATTTATAATTTCATTTGTGCTTTATTGTGTTGTAGGTTTTTTGCTTTTTGTTTTTTGAGACAAGGTTTCACTATTCAGTGTAGGCTGGCCTGGACCTCACAATGATCCTCCTGCCTCAGCCTCCGGAGGGCTGGGATTACAGGCATGCATCACCATGCCCAGCAGTGCTTTATTGTGTGTTCATATGACCCGCCAATTTAATTTTTATCGTCTCTTACTGTATTTAAATTATACATTTGAGGACTGTGGTTCAGTGGTAGAGCACTACCCCACTGAGGACTCCCACTAGGCTTCACCTCCAAGATATTCTGCTGCCTACCAGTAGCCTTTCTGTGGGAGCTCCGGGGAATATTCAACACCCACACTATGCAGGTTTCAACATTTTTGTAAGAATTGTAGTCAGATTAAAATGTTTCCCTGGAAATTGTGAAGGGTGAAATTTGTAAAGTATTGTGCGAGTACCTTCTTGGCAGTAGTGGTCTTGTGTGTGGTCTGCTTGTGTTCATCTGTGCTGTGTAGTGCTGCTCTGTGTCAGATGGTTCAGCAGTTTTCTGTGATACTCATTAGAATTTTAAAAATTAATAATTAGAATTAAATGATTGGAAGATTGATTTTATGTTCTCAATATTACATAACTATTGGCAGATCTTAAAATAGAGTTAATAGCAGAAAGAGAAGGTGAAGGAATAACTGAAATCTTTTAACATTAAACTGGACTGATGTTATGTCCTTTTAGGCTGCTGCTTTTCTGAGGGTTTTAATAAAATGCATTTTTAGGTAGTCTTTATGGTGTCCAACTATAGTTGTTGAGTAATTTGACCTGATATGTCGGTCACCAGTTATTTTTATTATATCCTTATTGATCAGAACTTTTTGGTTTGGTTTTGGGCTTTTTTTTTTTTTAAATGGTCTTTCTACACAGTGCAGGTTGGCCTTGAACTCATGGAGATCCTTTTGCCTCAGCCTCCCAAGTGCTGGGATTATAGGTATGCACCACCATGCTTGGTAGGACTCAAAACTTTTATTTTGTTTGTTTTTTTGAAACAGGCTCTCACTATGCAGTTTAGGCTGGCCTTGGACTCACATTGTAACCCAGCCTGGTCTTGAATTCGCAACAATCCTCCTACCTCAGCCTCCTGAGTGCTGGGATTACAGGAGTATGCCACCATGCCCATCTGCTCACAACTTTTTGTATGTATTTTTTTGTCTTTTGTTTTTTTGAAATGGAGTCTCTCTATGCAGTTCAGGCTGGCCTTCAGATCACTTTGTAGCCCAGGCTAGTCTCAAACTTGCAATGATCCTCCCACCTCAGCCTCCCGAGTGCTGGGATTACAGATGTGAGCCACCACGCCCGGCTCTGTATATATGTATTTTTGAGACAGTCTTGCGGTGGAGTCCAGGCTGCTCTTGAACTCACTATGTAGTATAGGCTGACCTCAAACTCACAGCAATCTTCCTGCCTCAGCCTCCTAAGTGCTAGGATTACAGCAGTGCACCACCATACCTCATGTAACTTTTTATATTCTCTATGCTATTTGGCATAGCTGTATTATTCAGTTTTGCTTTGTTTTGTCTTTATAGACATTTGTGTGTACAGTCTGTGTCTCAGTTTGTGCATAAGGGCTTCTACTCATGGAATTGGGATAAAACCTGTAAACAGATAATTAAATTATATGAAGTCTGAAAACTAAATTGGTTCTTTGTCCTTCAGAAGTTCAGAGAACAAAGTTGTACAATCAGTTTTGTGGTGACAATCTGACTCTTAAAATGTTGATTTTATTGTGGCTCTGAAGGATCCTTACTGGCGCTCAAATAAAATCTTAATTCTCAGGGAAGGATCCTTATTAAAAAGAGGTGTTTATTTGATTGTCCCAATATATTTTTTTAGGGCTAATGTCTTTACTGTTGTACTACTATCTTGCTAATTCCTACTTTTATATATACTTCTATTTTCCAGTATCAGTTAAAAGGGTAAAGAGCAAAAGGTGAATTACCTTTGCTGTCTGTCTAATTTAAGTTCATTAGAACTTTTCTCTCTCTTTGGCTTCTTTGACAAACCAGGAATCTTACTAAATGTTAATTTTTTTGGAGGCTGGGTATAGATTTTTACCAGTGTTTTTCAAACTTACTGGATGGATTTAAAAATTAAAATACTGGACATTGAAACCAAGGGTCTTTGCATGCCCCACATGCCTAGCCCTTTTTATATGTTATGTTGAGACAGGAGTCTTATGGAATAAGACTGGGCTCAAACTTGTGATCCTTCTCCTTAAGCCTCATAGAGTGCTGGAGTTATGTGTGGCCCTCTATGCCTGGCAGTCCCTCCCCCCACTCCCCCCACATTTTACCTGGTTAAGAATCACTATTGACAAAAAGAAAGAAAGAAAAGAAGAAAAAAGGAATCATTACCAATGCTTAGTGGACTGCTTTAGAGATGTGATGGAAGGCTCAGTAATACACTTTTTTCCCCTTTTTTTAAATTTTAGGTTTTAATTAAAGTTACACAAAGATTTCACTCCTCCATCTTCTCAATTGTCTCTTCCTTGTATTTGCCCTTTTCCTTTCCTACTTGGCGAGACTTGGCTTTCTGTTCCAGGATCTTTTTGCGGTCTTTGTCCAGTTTTAGCCTGGTGATAACCACCTTGCTGGGGTGAATGCCCACATGGACAGTGGTAACATTTGCTTTTTCCTGCTGCACCCGTTCAATGTAGATGACTTACTTCCCTGTAAACTTGGACTACTTTCCCAATCTGCTGACCTTTATAGTGTCCTCGCACAACCTGAACCTCATCATCCTTTTGGATGGGCATAGATTGAATATTGTATTTCTGTCTCAGCTCTTTGGAAAGAGGGGAAGACATAATCTTCCTGCGAATGTGTGAAGGTGCATTGAAATGCCTTGCCTTTTGCAGTTCTTGCTTCGGTCCAAAGTCACAAAAGGATTGAACTTCATTTTGGCTGCTGCATCTCCAGCGATGGCCGCAAAAGGGAACTTTTTTTCCCTTTTAAATTTGGAATATGTGGGGCTAAGGATTTAGCTCAGTGACATAAGCGCCTGCCTTGGAAGTGTGTAGTCGTGAGTTCGATCCCTGGTAACAATAAAAAAGAAAAAGACCAAAAAAAAAATTGGAATACGTTCCATATATATATACATACATACATATATATGAACATGAAACATATTTATAGCAAATAATTAATAAAAATTAGTTAAAAGCCAATATTCATTTACCATCTCCCACATCTAGAACCAAACATTGACAGTACCATAGTAGCTCTCTTTTTTTTGTCTTTCTCATTTTTTTTTTAAATCTTTTTCGTTTTTATCGGTACCAGGGATCGAACTCACGACTGCCTGCTTGCAAGGCAGGCGCTTATGCCGCTGAGCTAAATCCCAGCCCCAATAGTAGCTCTCTTGGTACCCCTTCCTTCATAACTAGGATAAACACTGTATTGACTTTATAGTATCAATTTTCTTGAGTAATCATTTATGAAAATGTATTCAGAATTTGTAGCCTTAAGTATAATAGTGTAACTAATGAAAACAAATCTCTACATGTAAAATTTTAGTTCGGTTTCTTTTTTTATTTTATTTTTTGAGGCAGGTTCCTGCTATGCAATTCAGGCTGGCCTGGAACTCACTGTGTAGGCAAGGCTGGCCTCAAACTCACAGTGATCTTCCTCCCTGAGCCTCCCGAGTGACGGCATGGACCACCACGCTGGGCTAGTCCAGTTTTCGTTTTGTTAAATATTGAATGTGAGAATTATCTGTATTCATTTCCTTGCTACTTTGTTATATGATTATACCCCAGTTAACTATTTTACCACTGGTGGACAAGTGTGTTTTTTTTTTTTTTTTAAGGAGAAAAGAAAAGAAAAAAAAACAGTGAAGGGGTACAAGTTATACAGATTTACAGAAGAAAAAAATGCACAGTGGG